AAACACTTGACGAATAACTCACTCAATAACTCAACTCACTTGACTCATACACTTGACGTGACGAATTCTAGTAATTGTATAAGGTTGGTAAATCAAAGTCAAGCATACATTGAACTTAAGGGTTTTTAATGTATAATCAGATATATTTTACCAAGTTAAACACGAAATATTCACGAGCTCACGCTCATCAGACTTCACGCACATCACACGCGCTTGTTGATCAGCATAACTTAACCCTATCACATGCAAGCATAGAAACGTGAAGCAATTCAAATTTTGGAAACGCATTCAATTCCGGAAAAACGTGCTAAATTATAAGTTATATTCACTCCTTTGAATTTGTAAAAGTTTCGAATATTGAACTATAAAATCTCAGTTGAAGAATCGAATAGGTCACCAAGGTAAAAAATGTTTTATAATATAAATTCAAACATTTAATTGACACGAGTAACAACTAAGCCTTAATTAAAATAAATTTCCTCAAGTTAATTTAATCGATGGAATAGATAGTGCTAGTTCCAACTTCCAAAAAAAATGCGGAAAGAGCGTCATGCAATTTCATTGTCCCAATCAAAAAAATTCATTTCAATGCTCATTTTTTAATTGTTTTGAGAGGATGATGGTGTGTATGGAACGATGGTCTGATAATTGGTGATTGGCAGGGGCATGATAAAGTAGCTTCTAAGACAAGCCGAGGGCCGTAGTGGGTCTTTTTGGGCGAGATTTTATGTGATCATTTATGGTCACTTGTCCGTTAAAGTGTTAAGATCGAGTACTGGGTATAGGTCTGCGCCGCGTCCTTATAAGAATACACCCTAAGTCCGTCACACAGTCTCCATTTTTGGATCGTTTCTCGCAACGCTTGGAAGAGGGGAAACGAGGGGGTGGTGGTATAAATGCTGGTGCTGGTGCTGGTCTTAGTGCTGGTCTTGGTGGGGTGGGTGGTGGTATAAGCGCCATTGGTCTTTCTCCTCCCTCTACGGGAGCCCTAGAGCCCGGATCATGGCCTCCGGATGGAGCGGCGGGCTGTCCGCTGATGACTGGATCATGGCCACCGAATGGAGCGGCGGGCTGTCCGCTGATGACTGGATCATGGCCACCGGATGGAGCGGCGGGCTGTCCGCTGATGACTGGATCATGGCCACCGGATGGAGCGGCGGGCTGTCCGCTGATGACTNCGGTTGCACTATTGCGTACAGTTAAGCGACTGCATGCAGTTGCACTACTGCGTACAACTGCGCTATGTACTGCTTACGGCTATGCTATTGCGTACAAATGAATGATGAAAATGAAGTAGGCAGATGAAAGTAAATAAAATGTTATCTAACATGTAAATTGCCCTGGAAGTCGGTCGATGAAAATCTTCGAGTTTTTCGATTAGTAAACTGCGGAGACTTCAGTTGTTGGGAGTCCCATCTCCTGCGTCCCGACGTCCCATCTCTGTAATCTCGACGTCCCATCTCCTGCGTCCCGACGTCCCAGATCCTGCGTCCCGACGTCCCATCTCTGTAATCTCGACGTCACATATCCTGCGCCCCGACGTCCAATCCTCCACGCCCCGACGTCTTATCTCTTGCGACCCGACATCCCATCTTCAGCGCACCGACGTCCTACCTCCTGCGTCCTAATGTCCAGTTTCCCGTTACCGCTAACGCGACCGAAGCAAGCGCACAGGTTTTTTACTAGGCCGAGGGAAGCATACAGGCAGAGCGGGACATCGCTACGTTGAAATGTAGCGGCCGCTTCCGCTGCATGCTCTAAATGTAGCGGGCGCTACCGCTACCGCTATACCCACTAGATTGTAGCGAGCGCTGCCGCTACCGTAAAATGTAAAGGCTTTATCTATAAATGTAGCGGTAGCGCTGTAGCGGCAGAACCTCGTATCGTTACTTAAATATGTAGCGGGCGCTACCGCTACCGCTACATTGCCTTAAATGAAGCGCCGCTGCCGCTACCGCTACTGAAAATGTAACGGCCGCTAGTAGCGGCCGTTACATGTAGCGCGCTACTGCCCACCTTTGCATACAGGTTCTGTATGATACCAAGGGAAGTATAAAGGAAAGGAAGCAAGTGACACCATTGAAAGAGGCTCAGGAGACACCATTGTTCAAAAAGGTGACGAAAGTTGACCGGGAAACTATCGCCCTGTCAGTTCGTCAAGTGCAGTTTGCAAGGTAATAGAATCTGTTGTGAGGGATAGATTGATCGATCATTTGACTGTTAATAATATCCTATCAGACTATCAACATGGCTTTATTGCCGGTAGCTCCTGCACCAATAACCTCTTGTCTACTTTGAATGAATGGACCCGCCTGCTGTACGAAAAGGAGCCAGTAGTACCTCGATGTACTTCGATTTTGCCAAGGCTATTGACAGTGTCCCACACGAGCAGCTGTGTCAGTATTAATGAGACCGTATCAGACTGGGCTTCAGCGCGTAGCGGCGTGCCACACGCAAGGAAGCGTTCTCGGGCCTGTTTTATTTGTTGCGTTTATAAAGGGTCTGCCAGACGCTGTGTCAGGCGTGTGCTCGGTTTATGCTTGTAAGGTTCAAGCAAGGACGACTCCAACTAGATTCGGAAATAAACCAAAAACTGCCACCGATCCTCAACAAGGGAGAAATGAAAGCATGATGAACAAATATTTATTGAACAAAACCCGCTAATTGAACACTAACAAGATGAATGGGTGAAAAGATCCTAGTAAATAAAGCTAAACCAGAACATCTACGAAACCAAGCATGAGATAAGGAACACACAGGAATGACGGTGCACTGGCCGGGCAAAGAGTTGGTCCTGCCGAACAATGATGGTCAGCAAGACTATAGCTAACAATATTATACTATGGAATCATTTCATTTAACACAACACACGAATGCATTAAAAGAATCCAAACACTATATTCAAGGCTCGAACATTAAACTAAAGTGAAAATGCACTCTCCTCAACTAATGGGGACGCTACAGGAACACTCGCTAATCCTAATAGTGACAGTAAGTACGCTCCGACCAAGTGGCAGCAATCGAATGAGAAGAACTCACGGGCTCATGCCGGTAATGCCACGTCAGCATATGGCATGGTTGCCAACCCTACCCGCAGCCATAAAAATTATTACACAAAAAAATTAAAATAACTGAAAACCTGAGAAAGGTTGAATTTTCCTTACAATGCTGAAGACACAAAAGTTTATAATACAGTGAAGAATACGTCGCAAAAATTACAGTTGCAAGGTGATCTTGGCATGTTGGTTGACTGGGCTGATACGTGGCAGCTGCGTTTTAATGCTGACAAGTGTAGAGTAATGCACCTTGGCAAGAACAATGATCAGCAAGATTAAAGTATGAGAATTCATGGTTGCAACGAGAGAGTGACGATGTCGAAGTCGACAATGGAAAAATATTTAGGAATTTATTTCAATGCATATTGAAGCTCAAGTAAATAAAGCCAATAAACAACTTGGGTTGATCAGACGCTCCTACGAGTATCTAGGTGCAGAAGCGATGAAGCAGTTGTTTGTCGCTGTCGTGCGTCAGAACCTAGTGTGGAAACANCTTGCTTCCATTGACCCTCAGCGTGCAAAAGAGGGTTAAATCAACTCTCACAAGTGTAGCTGCAGTCGAGGAGGCAGTCGCAGTCCTGAAAGTCAATCTACGTCTTTGTTTTAGCGTGCATTAATTCGTGTAATCTTAGAGCTCGTTGTGTGCACGTATCCATTAATCAGTCATCAACAGGCATGTGGCCGTATATAATCCAACAACATAGTGACCTTTTTCGCCTAATAAACTTGAAGGGTTCGCATCTACACGAATAAAGACCAGCACAGACGATTTGCACGACCAGAATTGCGGAAGAAATTTTTTAAAGATACGGACGACCAGTTTCCTGTTTGCATGAGAGATATAGAAAAATATGATGAACTATACGACTCAAGTTACTGATTTAATTGTTTAAAAAGGTAAAATTGTCATTGGTGGTCGAGTTAACCAGAGTCCTCGAAATGATGACTAATCTTCATATATTAGATCATGATAACTAATTAACCTGCTGCACTCATCACAACTAATCTGTTGAACTTGGTAGTTTATGTTTCAATGTCACTGTAAGCATTTCAGTCGGAGAGTTTCTTGTAAATGCCACGCACGTTTTATATAAACCGCAATTATCGGGATTTTTTACTCTAATTCAGGGATTATTTGAAAAATTAAGGAGATTGATGATTGTTCTGAAATAAGGTTTCGTGGTGTGCAGAGATTCCTGGCTGATGTGCAGAGATGCCGTGTATCTTTTTATACCGAAATATTTTCGATAAAATACGTAATATATATGGGACCACAGAAATTATATGCACAGTTATATAGGAGTGAATTTTATTTCCATACATCGATTTCTTTTTGCATGCACGAGTTTCAAGCTACGTGAGATAAATTATTTGAATGTGGATATGACATACTTTATACCATTGAGGTAAGCATCAATACTGTATAAGGGATCGCTCTTCGCTACCGCAACGGTTTCGTTCCTTTGGTATGTGGAGGAGTTATTTACTGGCTTTGTCTTGCACTTTATTTATATCTACACTTTTGTTTTTGTGTTAATGTAAAGTTTCGTGTGGAGTCCTAATGTATGAGTACACAGGCATCCACGGCTGATCAGAATTATGTTGATATAATTTATATTGTTGTTTCCCAGCAATTTCGGACGTTATTGCTTCCGCATTTGTTATCGAATTTACAATTGTGAATTGAGTAACTTTGGCGCGACTTTAAAAATTTTAGTCTGAAACTTTTATATTTTAATTGAATGGGGAAGATTGACTAGATATATCTTGAGACGTCCGCTGTAGATACGTTCGACGTTTCGAACGTGTTAAACAAATCTGAACGGCTTGACATGCAACGTCTGAGACACATATTAGACGCTGCGGTTGCCGTCACATACAACAGATGTCCCAGAAGACGTGCGGGGTCTTGATCGACACTCAAGACATTCGACAACACTGCTGAAGACCCAATGCCGTGCCACGAAGACTCTTGACGTCTTAAAAGACGCACGCAGAGAAGCGTTTCCCGACGACGAGCGGCAACGTCTGCGCCACCAACAAGGCAGCCACGGCTGATCGGACGTCAAACGTCTCGAACGCAGCGTCGTACCTGCAATCAAATAATTATTGTCTCATCAGCCGCACCGCGAGAAAATTAATGCACTGAATAACGAAAATTGAATCAACAATCAATTGAACTTGACACTTGACTATTCCATTCTATTGCTTAAACAGTTTATAGGGGTTTGCCTTGAAATTCTCATAACTAACTTCAGAAAACTATTAATTGGGTTGATTTTTTTGCAGGAGAATTTTGTGACCAGCAAGGCCCTTTTCTTGCGTCACGATTCCTTTGCTTAACTTTAATAAGCTAGGCCACATCACTAAAGACNCTCGTTGAATGAAAGGAAAAATTGTTATTGATACTCACGGCTTCGACAGCGCAAATGTTTCCAGATATTCCAAGTTTTTCGGAGCCATCTGAAATTATATAAGAAAGATTTCTGTAATGAACATTTAGTTCTAAATTCTTTAAACATGACGAAAATGGTTGCAGAAGAGGGCTAATAATATTCTCCTCACGCCAATTACAATATTTTTATCAATTGCAGACAATTTACTAGAAAGGTTGTCGTTGGTTTTAGCCATGATTGAACAGAAGAAGTAATGGCAAGCGAATTGTTCAATTAAGAAGCGAAACAGCAACAAAAAAGCGAAATGGTTGAACTCGGTGGACATAATTAACCCTTATACGAAGCTTTATTTCAAGAAATTTATATTTTAATGTGCATGTGCTTGCTTTTAGAATTTGCTATTGAATTTTCTAGCGCATTTTCAATCATTCACTAGTAGCGTATCTCACCTCGCTTTGATAGGAAGCTAAATAAAGTGCAGTAAGAGAATCCGCGGAAGAAGCAATGTCATGGCCGCCGTCAATGACATCAAAGACACCATGTTGATTTTCAATGAGGTCATGGCCGCAATTTTGACACTCAGTGACGTCATGGCAGAAGTTTTGACTATTGATGACATTATGGCTGGCATTTTGATTATGGACGTAATCATCACCACCATATTTACTAGCAATGACGTCTTCGCCGCCGTCTTCTCTGTCAATGACATGGGTGGGATTTTTCATCATTTCAGATGCTTGTGCAATAACTTTACAGTCTGTAACTTGTCCAGCATCAATATGCCGAGCATCAAGCCTTCGTTCTCCAGAAATTCGGGAATCGCTACGTCGTGAATCAAGTCCTTGTTCTTCAGTAGTTCGGGCATCAATAGGGCGTGCATCAAGTCTTCGTTCTTCAGAAGTTCGTGCATCAAGTCTTCGTTCGCCAGAAGTTCGGGCATCAATACGTCGTGCATCAAGTCTTCGTTCTTCAGAAGTTCGTGCATCATGTNTCAGAAGTTCCGGCATTGACACGTCGAGCATCAAGTCTGCGCTCTTCATAAAGTTTTGCATCAACACGTCGAGCATCAAGTCTGCGCTCTTCAGAAGTTCCGGCATTGACACGTCGAGCATCAAGTCTGCGTTCTTCAGAAGTTCTGGCATTGACACGTCGAGCATCAAGTCTGCGCTCTTCAGAAATTCTGGCATTGACACGTCGAGCATCAAGTCTGCGCTCTTCAGAAAGTTTTGCATCAACACGTCGAACATCAAGTCTGCGCTCTTCAGAAGTTTCGGCATTGACACGCCGAGCATCAAGTCTTCGCACTTCAGAAAGTTTGGCATCAACACGTCGAGCATCAAGTCTGCGCTCTTCAGAAGTTCTGGCATTGACACGTCGAGCATCATGTCGTCGCTCTTCAGAAGTTCTGGCATCAACACAAGACTCTATCTCATTGGTTGTGGCAGCATCAATTTGGAACGTTGACTGGGGTTTGGACGGCGACTCGTGGGAAAGCGAAGAACTGGTCTCTGGCTCAACCTTCGGGGTAAGGAAAAATATGTATATCAGTCATAGAGGATTTAGTCTGGACATCAGTTTTTCAATGCTGTATCTCTATCAGCGGTAACTGGATAAGCTATGTAATTCACTCATTGACCTAGACTGGAAACTATCATCGTGGGTCAGTCATCGTCAACACACTAAGTGCAGCAGCGCAACTAAGCATCCCAGAATGCAGAAGCTGTACGGAGAATAGTGTCGTCGACTGGCTCAGCCACGAGTGCACGCGTGACAGCAGCTTAGTGTTGTCAGCACGACTGCGTCAGTCACGACTCCACGTTATATTAGGGGTCGTATTTTTTAATTTGATCGCTATTGTATTTTTCCGCTTGTGTGTTTCCCCGCTATTGTGGCTGTACATTCTTTTAGGGATATTTGCAAATGTGCGTAGGGATACAGGAAATGTGTAATTGTGTGTATTTTGCGTACTGGATGTTGAGTAGGGGTTATTTGCGTAGGGGTTATTTAGGTAGGGTTATTTTAGGGATACATTCTTTTAGGGATATTTGCAAATGTGCGTAGGGATACAGGAAATGTATATTGTGTGTATTTTGCGTACTGGATGTTGAGTAGGGGTTATTTAGGTAGGGTTATTTGCGAACTGGATGTACTCACCTGACAAAAGGTCACCGGGTACGAAGGAGCCAAACGCTGCCGAAAGTACGCAGGCAACCTGCAATGTATTTTTAATGAGATAACGAGAAATAATTGGTCAACTAATGTGCTGTCTGGAAGATTTAATGTTCAGTAGCAGCAACGTTTGGTTGCGTGTGTTCATATTTGGCCAACACAGAGTATATATGTTAAAGGGCAATTTCAATGCAATACATCCCTTATGGCAATCCAAATAGGCCAGCTTACACTCGAGGTGCCGGCATTTCTCACCCTTGCTGGAGTCCGCCTTGAACATTTCGACACCAAACAGACCCAGGCTGCGCCACACCAAACAGACCCAGCAGCAACAGCAGTGTCACTTTCGTAAGACCCGATGCAGAATAGGTCTTGGTAGGCCTGCCAACCTCGGCAGGAGCCTGCCTTAGAAATTCTGCTCTTTTACCGCCGCCAATTCTCGATATCCATGGGCTTCCGGACGCTTCAGTTCCGCTGGAAATTTTAGGGTTACAGGAATAAGCCGATCCAGTTTGTCGAACGGCTCTGCGGTTTCCGGAAGATGCTACTGCTTTACGGAAAAGTGATCCGTTTCCGGGAAAAAACAATCCAGTTCCGTGTTATATAGAGCGAAGGGGCCCTATTTTTGGAAATTAATCTATTTTCAATTTCACGGGTTTTGGCCTCCGGGTTGATGCCGTTGCGTGGGCACGTGTCTTCGTACCATTTATCCAAGAAATTAAACCTATTTTAAGGGAGATATATGTCCATGAAGTAAATATTTTTGCTTTGGGAATGGAAAAGAGGGGGTGAGATGAAAAGAAGAGGGCATGAAGAGGGACTAGGAGGGGGCGGAAGTCCAATAAAAGACCGCATGCGGCGCGGCGATAGCAGCGTTGAGACCTCGCTAACTTCAGGGCTTGACACGCAATTTTGCTTTTGTTTGAACTCGGATAATTCCATGTGTGATTTTTAGAGTTTTAAATAGATATTTGCTGTCATTTTTGTCCGATGATATAAATTTGCAACGTTTCAAATATTTTATTTCGTAATTGTTTTATTCCAGATTGTTTTTGTATATGTGTTAGAACGCTTAAACATTCAACTATGCCATGCAATCAATCAACAATCATTGAGCCTGGCGTTCGCTCCATGTTCTGTGTGGTGACTCGTGCTCCACGCATGAATGTCCACTACGATTTGATGAACTCTTTGTCTTCTCATGGCGGCGAAGCATCGCAATGATCAATGGTTGATGGAGGTAAGATGATCATCAAACATGAAGCATGTGTCACTCTTGCTTCCCGCATGAATGTCCACCACGACTTGATGAACTCTTCGTCTTCTCATGGCGGCGAAGATTCCCAGAATTAATGCGCCATGACCTCGCACGTGACCCAGCTTCCGAGACGACATGACGCTCGATCGTGCGGAAGCTTCAGCTTCGATCTGAAGTTCGTTATTTTGATCTGTTCACATCCAAATTATTTAGAGATTTTTGTGCCCTATTTGAATAATTATAACTTTCAATCAGATAGTAGTTAGGTTAGTCGCACCTAACCAAGAAGGTTAGGTGCGATAGTAGTGCGGTAAGCAATAGGAGCTTAAACTTGTTAAATGACAATGAGATATCATATTGCCGAAAAATGTAACAAAAAAGGCTGGAACAACCGACGCTAGATAAGTTTTATCTCCAACCTCGAAGTTACTGAGAGGGTTACAGAGGTTAACGTTCACGATGTTCTCTTGTACAGGCATTCCCTCTCCTTGCACTAATTCCTTCTTTTCCTCCCCTCCTCCCAAACACTAATATCCAGTCATGGCATCACATCACAGTCAAAACGGTGTCTCCTTATGTTGTTTAAATGTTTTCTTATGTTTAAATACTTTCTGTACTGTTTTCATGTTTATTTAGCTCCATTTATAACTGTTATCATTAAAGAAACATACAGTGGGTGCAAAAAGTATCCGACACAAAGGAACTTCATTTACTTAAAACTTATTCAACAGAAACAACATAAACAAAAAGTCTCTTAATGTAAATTTACATGAAAAATACAAAATCATATCAAAGCAACAATATCATTAAATGTTGACTTGATAATTGCAATTTTGTAAAAGTCAAAGTTCAAAAAGTATCCAACACAGTAAACAAACTTACTCAATATACTTCGTCATATGACCTTAATTTGGCAGCCAAAACTGCATCTACCCAATTGGACTACTTGTTCACAAGATTATCAAATATGCTAATAGGAATTTTAGTCCATTCGTCCTTGCATATTTTTTTCACTTGGATAAGATTTCTTGAATCTCTCTTGCACCCACAATTTCGATTTCCGTCACAGATTTTCAATCTTTTTGAGGTCAGGTGTTTGGCCATTCCTATAACGCAATGTCCCTCTCCTGAAACAATGAAAGAGTTGCCCAAGACGTGTGCTTAGGGTCATTATCTTGTTGGAATATCCAACAATGAGGAAAGTTCAATTTTTCGGCTGACTTCACGAGACATTTCTCAAGAATGACCCGATACACTCAGGAGTTCATCCTTCCTTCGAAGCGACTCCACCCCCTCCAGCGACCGTGGCCAGTCAGTTTCGTCGGCTGACGAAGATAATGAATGCCACAAGCTTGCTCCTGGACTCAACGCCCTTGAACGGAGGAGCAGAGGCCGTTGTGTCACAGGCAATCGGCTTACTACAACACGGCTGAATTCCGCGAGCTGAACCCCAGGCTCTTCGAGACGCTAAACTTATCCCATCTCATTATGGTAGAAAGCGACAGATCGGATAAGGGTAAATCTGCTGCATAAAAAGACATTCAAGGACTTCCTTGCTATTATAATGACATGGCTTTCTGAGCCATGTCAGTCATGGACGTGCTGACAGGGGGGTACCCGATGTATTGGGTGTGCTCCTCAGAGCCATGCGCACCTACAGAAGCATCATTGGTGGATAACTGAAAACAGATACGATCAAAAGACACCTCTATTCCTTTGTGCATTTTGGCACCTATGCCAACCAACTGGAGTTCCCAGGAAGAAATTGGCAACTATAATGTTTTATATAAAAATTTTTAAAAATGAACTTCCTGAAGGAAGTTCGTAAGAAAAAGTTCTAAGAACAAAGTTCCTCGAATAAAGTTCTTACATTTAGTTTGAAATAAAGTTACTCATCAAAGATCTTAGAACAAAATTCATTCTTAAAGTTCTACATACAACCTATCACCACAACATCCAAGGCAAACGTGATGCATGTTAAATGTAAAAATTTACTCTGCAATCATTTCGGTTGTCTCTTTATTTTAGAACATAAATAGATTTAGAATTAGAATTTCTTTTTCAATACAGAAAATTTCTAATTGGGATAAACTGAATCATTTCTCATGAACAAATAATTGCGCTTATTAATATTCAATAACAATTTTTTGGAATACCAGTCTGTATTCTAAAGTGTACGGAGAGTATGGATCGATGATAATCATCCGTTATTGACGGACTTTGAGTTTGAATAGCATCGGGAAGATGTGATATGATCACTATCGTCAGGGTCGTTCGTCTTGACCACGGATCGACACGCGTACATAATCACTTCACTCGTATTAATGCTCTTGTAAAAAGATAATTGAGCTCAAAATTCATGAAGACACTGCAGGAAAATAGCTCCAACGACAAAAAGTCTAAGTGTTCCAGATATTTCGAAGTTTTGGTTTCTAAACTTTAAAGCTAAAACGACAAACTTCTCTAAGATCACTCGTCCCTCGTATTTGTGAATTTTTAGTAATTATGTGGCAAGAGTGAGTCAAAGACACGATTATGATGAGTAAAAAAACTTTTGTGCATTCAAACGGAATTACTAAAAAATATTCGATAATTTCCGTTCTTGAACCGGACAGTGGAGCCTACGAAATTCGACCGCAATGAAACCGACCAAAAAGGTAACCAATTTAGTCACTTTTTTGCACACGACCAGGGTAGGTTAACCTGGGAGAAGATTAAGTTAACGGGAGAAGAATAAATGAATTCGAAATCCATATTTCTTCAGAATAGTGAATATACTGCAATCAAACAAGAAACTGCAAGCGTATAAAAGCTCAAGCAAGCATTTCATAGTAGCAAGTTTAAAGTGTCCGGCATCATATGGCATTCTTGGAGTTTAATCAAAAATTCACAGACCCGTATTATTCATTTAAAATAAGCCAATTTGTTGACCCTATAATGAAATTCCAGGTTAAGAATGAGGACTTTAACTTTTCATTAGTAAATTTTGCGACTGTCGTGGCGAAAAAAAGGCCTAAAAGTTGCAGCAAGTCAAACTCTGAGTCGTTAAGATTAACTTTCGATTTCTTATTTATCGCTTGCTAATAGTAATTTTAGCCCATGGATTCGTCCTTGCATATTTTTTTCACTTGGATAAGATTTCTTGAATCTCTCTTGCACCCACAATTTCGATTATATTATTAATTTTCATTCTCTTTTTTGGCATCATTTAACTCTTTTATCTTCAACTCGAGGGTAAGTTTATGTACCCGATACAGGTGCAGAAAATGTATGAGTTGTAAATTTACTTCGAACATTATCCGAATCATCGTCTTGCTTGATCGCTAGTTTTCATGAATAATTGGTTGCTCTTATCATTAAATATTGTCAGCCGCATTTAGTCAGGAAACTTCGCCTGCTGTGATATGCTGCACGCATATTGCTGCGAACTTCATGAATGGTTGACTAACATACAAGTCATAAGTGGTACCCAAGTTACGGGGCTAAGTTTCACAGTTACCAGTCAGTGGTTTACTAGAGGTAAATTTTGTGCGTATACGAGACGAGTAAATTATTATGTTACAATTCACGGGTATATTACAGCTTGTGTTGATTTAGTTGAAGGAAATGTTGTCCGCAGACAAATTATAAGATTATAACTTACGTGTTTGATGTCCAAGCATTATTTTAATGGATTAGTTTCAATAATTCCAGCTTAGATGTAGTGTCAATAATATACAAAGTGCAGTGGGTGCGTGTTGAACTAATTACTATAAGTCCCCGCCCGCCGCGCTGCTTTCTTCAAGGCTGACAAGAGGAAGCCTGCGCACTTCTGTGTCAAATTGTGTCCATCGAATTATACGGCTATGAGCTTTATGAATAAATTTACTTTTTTCCTCGTCTATAACATGGTAACTGTGTCATGGTAACGGTGACATGGTAACGGTGACATGGTAACGGTGACATGGTAACGGTGACATGGTAACGGTGACATGGTAACGGTTACATGGTAACGGTAACATGGTAACGATGGCAGGTTATTAACCGTTCCACCGCGGCCTAGATTCGGAGGGCACTCGGGGGTTCGCTATCTGC